TATATATGTGTGTATATATGGTTTACGATTGTTGAAGCCACACCAGATTTATCCTCTGTTCAGGATATACAATGTCTCACAAATATATATGTATATATATATATGTGTGTGTGTGTGTATATGGTTTACGATTGTTGAATATCCGCCAAATCGGCGTATAGCACAGCCGCAAAGTTGCCGTCGGCCATGGCGAGGCAGGCGTTGCAGCGTCAACCTTTATCTATGAAAAGCCGAGGCTTTTCAGTCAAAGACCTGGCTTCCCGTTTGCCACGTAACCATCCCATCCCCTGCCTTTTATTCCTCTCTCTTTTATTCTTCATGGGCGTCGAGTACACGCTGCCAATGGTTCCTTCTTCTTCTCCGCCGCTCGACATCGGTTTCCTTCTCACTCAGAGTTTCCATGCCTTCCTCGCCGCAAGGCCTGAGCTCAATTCCTTTCTCGCAGCTCTCAACACGGTGAAGAATTAGTGGATGGGTGATATTGATCTCTTTAGTTTTTATCTTTGACGGTGGATTAATTGTAGTAATTGAGCAGGTTTTTGTGGGCATGCAAGTGGTTTATATTCTCTGGGCTCTGTTGGTGGAGGGAAGGCCTCGGCCGACGGTGGCGGCGCTCTTCATGTTTACTTTCAGAGGTGTTGTGGGTTACGCAACACAGCTTCCTCTTCCCCCGGTGGGTTAGGTCTTTTCTTGTGTTTGAAGAATTTGGGGAATTTGCATGCATACAGTAAAATTCATATGATTTACATATCTAAAACCTATATTTTAGTTTTTAGATTTATTAAGCACATCAAAAATGCCAGCATCTTATCATGACTTTTAAAAAAGAAGATACATATTTTTATGGATACATAAGGTATTTGTAAAAACTTGATTTTAGTATTAAATATGTAATTAAGTAGGATCGAATTCTGTGAATCATATGTAAATCTTCCTTAAAATTTTTATGAGACATTTTTTTCTCTTGGGTGTTGATTTTTTTTGTTTTGATTTGTATGTTTCTTTTAACTTTAAGCACATTTACCGAATATTTTTTTTAATATTTAACTTTTTTGCCTTTAAAATAAATCGTTGGAATTGAATAGTATGTGTGTAAGCCATCCTTTATTTTTTTATCATATAATTTATATAGATATTTTTTAAAAAATTATTCATCTGTAAATCGGCAATCATATTCAAGTGCATAATTATATAGAAATCTATATTTTCACATAATTACTCACCACGCCACCGGCCTTCACACGCCGAACGGCATAATTTTCCCCTTAATATGAGAGCTACTCAAACCTGACGCAATTTACTCGGCCTGCGGGACACTGCTTTTAATCAGCTACGTCACGTCATGTGCAGCTGGCTGATAGGCCCCACACAATGTTCTACTCATTAATTCATCGTGCTGGCACGTGTTTGGCGAGGGGATTTTCAACATTGTGCCACGATAATACTGTACTAATCCAAAATCATTACCCAGTATGACATTTGTTATGTAGCTCCACTAGATGGTCTTTATTTTCCAATGACAGAAAATAAAATTGTAGCTCCACTAGATGGTCTTTATTTTCCAATGACAAGTATTTGATAGGTAGAAAATAAAATAATTAAGATTTCACTGATTTAAGTTTTAGGACATTGAGATTTTCATCGATCATTTTTAAACGGCATATTCTTTTTTTTCTGCATCATTCTAACGTTTAGTTTTCAGCATCTTTCTTTTTTCTTTTATTTTTTAAATTATTAGCTGTGAAAGGATTGGAGAACCACATATATTATAATAGAATATTTATTGTTGGAACACAATTTTTAGGAATTTATATATGTAATAATTGATATTTCTATACATGATATTTAGTTTTATAATTACATCAAAACATAACGTGAGAAGAAATATTTTATTTTCAAAAAAGATAGCTTCAGTAATATTTTTTATGTGATTTTAATGATTAAATCGATTTATAAATAAATATGAAAATTTAGATAATTGAGTTGAAACATTTAAAAAATTATGTAACACGTACGTAGGAACATATCACAATTATTCCAAAAATAATTTCTGTATAATTAATTAACTTAGGGATTTCTTGGCTCCGGAGTGGATTTTCCGGTAGGAAACGTATCATTTTTCCTCTTCTTCTCCGGCCATGTGGGCGGTGCGGTGATTGCATCGCTGGATATGAGGCGGATAAGGCGGCGAAGGCTGGCAATAGCGTTCGACGTTCTCAACAGTCTTCAAGCGCTCAGGCTGCTGGCCACTAGAGGGCATTATACTATAGATCTGGCGGCCGGGATCGCCGCTGGCTTCATCTCCGACGTCCTATCAGGAATGTATGAGAGCCGAGTTAATAAGTTTTCGGCGCCTTCTGATTCTAAAATTTATCCTCCATGCTGCAAGTGCAGATGTAAGTGATGGATTGGAAGAACTTCGGCGAGATTTGTTGTTTTGTTTTGAGCTATGTTTACTTTGATTTGGGAGGCAAATAATCACTCATCTGGCCCTGTAATCCCATTGAATGAATATTAATTATTATTATTTTATTTATTTTGTATGCATCAGATAAATGTTTTAAATTTAATCCTGCTTGAATGCGAATATTGGTTGAAAATAAATAACTGGATTCGAGTGCCCCACCAAACCGAAAAAATATAAATTATTGAATAAATAAATAAAACCCAGCGAACAACAAATAAATCATAATTTGAGAAAAAATAGTTTGATCTTTGGTACTCCAAACATGAAAAATAAAATTGATTTGAATCAATAATTGGTTTAGAAAAATTATGGCTGACATAGATAATAGAAGAAGGAAATTCTATGAGAAGCACTCTAAATCAAGTTAAAAAGTTTTGAGATTATTTTAAAAATAATTTAATCTTTACTTTTAATAAAATTTTATTGGCGATGAATCTTGGATTGTCTGTAAATCACACTCAAAGAATGGAGTGTAAGACGTGGTTGAGAGAGAGAGAGAGAGAGAGAGAGAGAGATGACCACTAATTTAAAAGAAGTATGTAAGCTTTTATTCATAGAATGACCCCTTACTTAAAAACCGTAGTAATGTCTCTTGAAAGGCACTGCCGGTCAGATAAGCTAGAAAGGTCTATTAGTTGGCTTGGTCCAGTAAATGTCCAAGTAAATGTATTGGACGATTAGACTTCATGAAGTTGGTTAATTGAACTCTTGTCAGTTCATTGAACTCTTATTGACAAAAGGTCGATGATCCGACCCGTAATTACACATTTATTTAAGTTCTAAAAGATGACGAAAAATTTGACTCAATTTATATTCAGCGGATAGTGTGCAAAATAAATATGATATAAAATTGATTATTGACTTACACACTAGAGGTACTACGCAATTATACATATCGTGTCAAGTAATATATTGTTTTCCTTAAAAACCCTAATATCGAACCTACAGCAAATAAGTGAATCTCTATGTCAATTTAGAAATATTTCTACTTCAACAGTAAATAAAATTTTTAGGAGAGTAAAATCTAAACTTTTGTATAAAGGTTATAAACTAAAGTTTTCTAATAATAATTTACAGCTAAAAGTAAATACAAATTTCTAAACCACAGATGTGTAAAGGAGTACCATTATATAAAAAAGTTTTTCCCCTTGCAAAGAGATTGTAATTAGTGTAGGAATCAAATGCTTAAATATAAAATTCAAATAGGAGCATATCTATTCCTTACCCTCTCTTGACTGCATATAGAACATTAGCTAATCTATAATTAAGTTCTTGATTTATATTATTGTGCAGAGTAGATTCTTGCCTCTCACCTCCAGATTACCCATTGTGCCCTCTTTCTGAAACCAACCAGGCCTCATGTTATGAACTAAAGACCAAATTGATAAATCATCAATTTTATACCTGTCATAACTTATCTCCCTATCTAGTTGCACTCCCCCCTTGGACGTGGCATCCCCCTCATCCAAAGTTTAGTGTGGTCTTCTCCAGTTGGGTGAAATCATAGCCCACCTAGGTAATTATGTTTCGTAATAGATTTTAATATCACAAATGGCTAGTTTGGAAAGTAAATTAAGAACTGGTGAAAATACAACACAAATTTTTAGAATAAAAGAAATCTTCAAAACATTCTAACCTCATACATTATTGCTTTTTATTACAAGGAGAAAGAAAAGAAAAATACTCAAGATTCACGAGGATAACAAAACAAAACATGATATATATTTATATTAAAAATCAAGTTTACATATATTAAAAATCAAGTTTACAAAACAAAACTTAAGCAAAAGTATAAATACTTATCTCAAACGTTTCCCTATGCAATCCCCTGGAGTTTTTTGACCAAACTTGAGTCCATTTTTATTTATTAGGATTTATATTTGTGTGAAGCAATCAGCACAAATAACCTTGAAGATGTGAGGATTTAGGTCATGACGAACAACAACCTCGAAATCCTAAGGCGAGTTAGGGCTTAGATTGTACAACAGGATTGTACAAATGCCTAAAAAATGTGTTTGAGGATTTATGTTGCACTAGGCAAAAAACATTGATATCTTATGACTTTGTTGTTTAAAGCTAACGAAGGGATGTATTAGTGTAGATCCTCTTGCTGTAGAAGATGGCCGGGCTGCCTACCATGTAAGCTTCAAGCTCCTTGTTATAGCAGAGTTCAAGTTTTCTAGGTCATTTGGTTATAATGTCAAATCAGGTGACCCTATGGTTAAAGTTCTTTAAATTTTATTATGGGCATATTAAAGTTGATTAAAGCGACACCGGTCAAGATCCCACAGTTCCGTCGTCCCGGCACCACTATTTTCTATTGGAATCACTTAGCCAAATGAATTTACTAAACTCAACTTAATGAGTTCCATAATTTCATTTAGACCGTAGGAAGCCTCGTTAGCAACCGTAGGTTACCTCCTACGAGGGATTCCCGATCTTCTAATAGAGACGTATTAAATTAGTTAAAGTTGTATTTTTTGGTGATGTTTGTGATTAAATTTTGAGTTGTCTTATATTTTGAATGTTGTGAGGCATTTTTGTTTGAAGTGTTTTTTATGCAGTAAGCAAAAAAGAAAAGCAGTAGAAAAGTACAAGAAAGACTGTAAAACGCTGTAAACTGTAAAAGTGTACCTGGCGAGTCTTCTCGTTCCACCACCTGAAACTCAAAATGCATGTCAGAGCATTTATGTATATAGAGCTGGAAAAGTAAAGTTCTGGAAACCTTACTAACTCTATGTTGTGTATTGGGGGGGGAGTCCTTAAATTTTAAGGATAATATTATTAAGCAAAACATATTAAGTTTAAAAGATCCCTAAGGAATTCACCAGGTTAAGAGTAGGGAGCA